GATGTCGTCGACGTATGCCTCGACGTTGTTGCCGAGCTGGTTGCTGAGTGCGCCCTGGACCGTGCGCTGGAAAGTATTCCCTGCGGTTATCAGTCCGAAAGGCATCTTAACATAGCAAAATACCCCGAACGGCGTGATGAATGCTGTCTTCTCTTTGTCCTCTTTCGCCATGCTGATTTGGTGGTAGCCAGAGTAAGCGTCGAGGAAGCTCAACAGCTCACAGTCGGCTGTTGAGTCCACCAGTTGATCTATTCGAGGAAGAGGGAAGTGATCCTTGGGACACGCCTTGTTGAGGTCGGTGAAATCGACGCACATTCTCCATTTTCCGTTGGCCTTCCGCACCATGACTGGATTGGCTAGCCACTCTGGATGGAGCACCTCTCTGATAAAGCCAGCTTTGAGAAGTTTGTCGAGCTCTTCTCGGATGGCTTGTTTTCGGTCTGGTGCAAATCGCCGCAGTCTTTGCTTTACTGGCTTGGCATCGGGTCGCACCATGAGTTTGTGCTCAATCACCTCCCTAGGGATCCCCGGCATGTCGGACGGCTGCCAAGCGAACACGTCAGCATTGTCGCGAAGGAAGGTGATGAGCGCGAGTTCCTATTTCTCGCTTAGTGATGCTCCGATCTTGACGGTCTTGTCGGGGTTGGGACTAGAGAGTGGAATGATCTTGATCGCGCCGTCTGGTTTCGGCATCTTGTTTGTCTTGCTCACTTTCTTGGGAGGCTCAGTTGTGGCGGGTGGGCTGGGCGTTTGCTCGACCATGTCGAGGCTCCGCTTGTCGCATTGTACCGCTAGCTTGGCGTTCCTTTGAATAGTGATTGTTCCTTTCGGTCCCGGCATCTTGAGCACTTGATACGCGTAGTGAGATGCGGCCATAAACTTCACAAGTGCAGTTCTCCCGATGATGGCGTTATACGCTGTGTCAAATTCAGCGACATCAAAGGTAATCTGCTCCGTTCGGAAGTTGTTTACTTGGCCGAAAGTCACAGACAACGTAATTTTGCCCAATGGTTTGGACGAGGACTGGGGAGTAATTCCATGGAAGGGTTGATCGGTAGGTGTCAACTCGCTTCGTGGGATTCCCATCGCGTCCAAGGTGCTGGCGAAAAGAAGGTTGATTGAGCTACCACCGTCGATGAGAACTCACGGGACCTTGATGTTCCGAATAGTGGGCTCGACCATGATCGGATAGCGTCCTGGGATGACGGCAGTCTGGGGATGGTCTTCTTGCGAGAATTCTATCTTCTGTTCAGACCACTTCATCTTGGGTGCAGCCCCCTGCCATGTCGAGCAGACTTCACGTTCCACTTTCTTGTATTCTCGCTTGGAGGAGTACGTTGTGGAGCCTCCGAAAATGTGTTAGACGTGGAGGTCGGAGTCTAGATATGCTGAGTCTGATTCCTGAGCAGCCGCCTCCGCATCTTTTTCGACCACGCGTACTCGCTTGCCTTTTTCCAACGCCATATGTTTCTCGAGCGACTTCTTGAAAACGAGGCAATCTTCCAAAGAATGTCTGTCCGTCTTGTGTATGGGGCACCATGCTTTCTTTGCGTCGCTACTCTGTGGGTCTGGGCGCTTGGATGGGTTCGCGTATTCTGCTGCGAGAACTTCCGCTTGAGCTTTCCTTTTCCCACTCTTGCGACTTTTCTTCTTGCTTGACTCAGGTGCGTCCGTGACTGGCTTCTTTTCTCCCCCGGTCTTCGGCTTGTCGTTCTTGCGTCTCAGCGCATCGTCTACGTGGGCGCATCGCTCGACGATCTCGAATAGTCTCCGAGTAGTCGTGATGCGTCTTGTCGCCAACTCCTAGGTGGTATAGCGATCTCGAACTCCAGACTTGAAGGCGTGAATTACAGAAGCGTCGGTGATCTCAGGGATTGTGTTTCTGCACTCGTTAAAGCGCCGAACAAATTCCCGTAGGGATTCACCCGAGTTCTGTGTCAACGCATGTAGGTCATCTTCAATCGCGTGGCGCTTGTAAGTTCCTTGGAAATTGGCGACGAACTGCTGCCATAAGTCTGCCCATGAAGAAATCGAGTAGGGCGGGAGATGCATCAGCCATGAGCGTGCAGAGCCTTTTAATGCAGTTGGCAAATAATTTGCCAACGCGTTGTCATCCGCTCCGGCAGCGTAGAGTACTGTGGAGTAGACTTGAAGGAATTATTCTGGGTCAGTACTCCCATCGTACTTCTCTATTGCTCCGGGTCGGAATCTCTCAGGCCATCGGACATCACGCAGGGAACGACCGAAAGCTCTACACCCAGCGCTGGGGGCGGTGGGTTGTCGGCGATCGTGTGTCCTTCGTGGATGTCTGTCTGACGATGAGGATGAAGAAGAAGATGACGATGATGATGAATCGCTTGGTTCCGGTGTGGGATTACGGGGTCGTCGGCTGGGTTCTCGAGAATCCTATCGTCGCCCTCCGTTGTTGTCCCGGCGCCGATCTCTGTCGTCCTCGTCGTTATGGCGGCGTCCTCGACCAGTATCGCCCTGCGTCCGCCTCTCACGATCATCATGATCGTGGCGATTGTGGCGATTAGCACGGTCTCGGTCTTCGTTCGAGCGGCCCTCCTGTTCTTTATTATCGTGATGTCGGGAAGAGACGTGATGTCGGGAGCGATTCCCGTCGTCTCGTGTGCGTCGTGCCTCTCGGCAGCCATTGAGGTGGTCTCGGAGATCGCCGGTGCCGCGAGGTGGAGAGGTAGCTCGAGGGGGTGACTCCCGCTGTTCAGGATTTTCGCCATTGACGCCGCCAGTTGGTGGTTGTTCTTGATGCGTAGCAGCAGCGGCTTCTTCGAACGCGTGGCTGAGGTTGGTTACTGATTCCCGTAGCCGTTCCTACCACCGCGCGAGATCATCGTTGAGAACGGGATCGTAAGGTCTCTCTCTCAGTATTGTGTTAAGGGTCCTGATGTGCTGGGCCGGTGTAGTCACTTGATTTTCCGCCTCCGCATTAGCGTGTGCTGACGTGCTGGTCCCGTCGATAGCTAATACCTCGCGTGGCGTACTCGTTGGTGATGAGCCGTAGTCTTCGAGTAGATGTAGGACTGATGGTTCGTGGGAATTGATGTCGATTACGCCGACGAATCGATCTGAGACCAGCGTTCGTTGTTCCTTGTCTTCATCTCTAAGGGATATGCCTGACTGTTGGTCCTTAGGAGATGACGTCTTCGTGGCGCTGAGAAAGACCTTACAGCTTAAGAGGTCGTGATTCTTTGTCTTGTGGATAGGACAGTAAACATCACGAGTTGGACAAATACGCTGAATTTCACGCTCTTTGCAAGCGCGAATTTCGGCGCGGACGTTGAGAAAAACCCAGCAGGCTTGCAAAGTGTGTTTCCTGGTTTTGTGGATAGGACACCAGGACCTTGTCGCTTCGGAAGTTGTTCTCGTCGGCTCGTGGTTCTTGTCGGAACAACAAGGTTCGGCCGCATTAGAATCCTTCTCGAGCTTGGATGTTGTCGATGTTCCGTTCTTCGCTTCGGCGGGAGGATCCTTCGATACGGAGTCATCTTGGGTTGCAGCCATTGCGTTCTCATTTCCGGTCATTGATGGACCGGCTGAGATCAGTATCATGGTGTAGACCGGGAAGACGATTTTGCCGACTTGAGTCCACACTAACATTGTTGAAGCAGGAAACCCGTGGTTGAGGTTGGTGTTGACGCTGTTGTCGACAAAGCTGGATGACATAGTAGTAGAACCTTGAGTACCAAGTGCCCCTACCTGGCGCGCCATTGTCGACGGGTGATACCCGTAGACCGAATATAGAGGGTATTGGGGTATGTTGGTACAAGGATCTACGTAATACGACATCGAGCAAACAAAAGACGAGGATTATACTGGTTCAGGCCCCTTGACAGGTAATAGCCCTAATCCAGTTGATATGGGATTATATGATGGAAAACCACAAGTTACAAAGGGAACGATGGAACTCGATGAAACCGGCAAGATCGTAATCGAGTTGGTTCGACTAGATCTCCCGGCAACTTAGCTCCTGCAGGCTCCGACTTCGTAGGCTGTAGTGGTTGTGTTGGCTATGAGATTCGATGCCTTAGGTCCTCCCAGGGGGTCCCTTTTATATCGCAGATCAGGTGGTCTCCAAGTAGAACTCGGAGACATCGGACCCTACACGATATATTGACGACCCTGTCTTGTCCGAGTAGGACTCAAACACCGTGGAAGATTTCCTTAGTGTATGCAGATAATGTCCGTGTATGCGCGGGTATGCCATGTCGATATGTGGCGCATATCGAAGGGTAAGGGGTATACCTAACCTGTAACCCTGACACAAACCTTAACTCTTTTTTTATCTATCTTTTTTCTCTATTTCCAAGCCCTAACTTTGAGTTCTTCTGCTTTGACTGAAATATGAGAAGTTTTTTTGCTCATCATTGAGGACTATGAGATTGGATTGAAATGTTGATGTATTTGATGAATTGATTGTGAATTTGATGAAGTAAATGTGAATTTCATGAATTTGATGTGTTATGTACCATTTTTGTGTCAAACTGAGTTGTTGAAGGGGTCTATGTCAAGTTGTGGCTAGGCCGGAACGGGTATGATGGGCTGCCCGTGCCTTCGGGCTGGCCCGGCACGGCCCGACCCTTATTGTGCTGTGCCTGGGCCACAGGTGAAGCACGTGGGCTGGCACGGCATGACCCGGCGTGTAGATCGGGCCATGCCGGCCCAACAAATCTTGGCCCGGGCATGACCAGGGCCGGGACTTGCTGTGCCGGGTGGTCCATATGGCAAACTATAGTACGGGGTGTATGCGCGCCCGTAACTATGGGTGTGTGCGCGAGTATATGGGCTATTGCGCTTGTATTGTGTTCCCAAGGAAAAAATAAAAAATCTAATTAAACGTACTCTTATACAAATCCTTTTTCTTGGACTAATAACTCTCATACGATTCAGAGTTCAGATACAGTTTATGTTTACGGAAATATCTGTCGTGTTAGATCGCAACATTTATTACATACATGTTCTAATTATAATCACATAATTAAACTGGTCGCCGAGATAGAACAGCAAAGACGATCTGCCAGTCTGCCACCATGGGTTCAAGAAGCTGCGTCGCCGAAGCTAATGGCTCGACGTCGACCATCGTCGCGGCGGCGAAGCCCACCGGCCATCACATCCTCAAGATCGACGGCTACTCCCGGACTAAGGCCATGGTCGCCGCCGGCGACAGCATCGACTCCTGCCGCTTCCACGTCGGCGACCACGCGTGGCGCATCAGGTACTACCCCAATGGCACCGACCGCAGCAACCAGAATCCCGACGCCATATCCGTCATGCTCGAGCTGCAGGACGCCACCGCCGCCGCCGGCCGCAACGGCGCCGCCGTCAAGGCGCAGTTCGTGTTCAGCCTGCTCGACGAGGAGGCGCACCTACCGCAGCAGCGTGCACAGCTTCCCTTCCTCCGACGGATTCAAGAATTGGGGATTCCTCCGATTCATCACCCACGGCGACCTCGACAAGTCGGAGCACCTCGTCGACGACGGCTTCGCCGTCCGGTGCGACGTCACCGTCATGGGCGGCATCGAGCTCCGCGTCGAGCCGGCGTCCCTCCTCGCCGTGCCGGAGCCGGACTTGCACCGCCACCTGGGCCGCCTCCTCTCCACCGGGGACGGCGCGGACGTCACGTTCAGGGTGGCCGGTGGCGAGGCGTTCGCCGCGCACAGGTGCGTGCTCGCCGCCCGGTCGCCGGTGTTCAGGGCCGAGCTATATAGCCGTGGCGGATTCCTAAGACCGGCCGCCGCCGGAAGGCCCGAAACACGCGTCGTCGACGTCGACGACATGGACGCCGGAGCGTTCAGGGCGCTGCTGCACTTCGTGTACACCGACACGCTGCCGGAGATGGCGTAGGCGGACGTGCCGGGCATGGCGCGGCAGCTGATCGCGGCGGCTGACAGGTACAAAGTGGAGAGGCTGAAGCTGGTCTGCGAGGACAAATTAAGCAGGCGTGTTGACGCAAGCGTGACGCCGACTGATTCAGCAGCTACATGTGATATGCCACAGCGTTATCCGTGGTTTAAGGGGATCTTTTTGAAGTTAGTAGCTGGTTGTTTGTTCTTTTAAAGTTTGTTTTCACTCACATAAATAACGGCTGTGGCTCTTTTTCTACCCCCAGAATTACATGATCTAGGTGCGAACTGCGAGCAGGGTTTGAAATTTCATTTCGAAATTTCGGTAATTTCGTGCCCCCCACCGGCAAGCTCGTTTATCGCCCAAAATTTTCAGTCTTTTACAACTTTTTGTGAATTTGGTCGTGTTTTATTTAAATCCATTCAAAATTAGTCAAAATTTCAAATAATTTAAGCCAAAAAAATTCGAAATTTCTGTAATTTCAATCCCCCGGCAGAAAGATCAATTTCGAAATTGAAAACCCTAGATGCGAAGGCTCAGTTCTTTGAAAATTGCACATCTGGGAGTTTCATCATACTGTAGAGACTTCAGCGCTGATACAAGGATGGCCGATACAAAACAGTTTTTTGTTATTCATGATTGTGAGTTCCACAATGCGATAGATGGTCAACACCACCTACCTTGTGTGCTAAAATTGTATACTTGTGAAATGATAATTACGCAATCTTTTAAATATGAAAAAAAAATAAATATATGTCCAAAAGTTAGTAATGTCAAACATTACGAATTGCGAGATTGCAATGCACTACTAAAAAATCGTTTTTTCAGACAACCAAAAATAGTTTTTTTTCAGGTGGGGGAAAGATCCACCTCTGTAAGCAAAGAATCTATTTTCGTAGACGAAAGACGTTCTCACCCCCGTTGCCATTTTCGTAGGCGGCCGTTTAGTTCCGAGGGACCTATCCACCTGAAAAAAAAATATCCACGTTTGTGAAAATGGTTTTTTTGGTAGAGGTACGTACCGTAGTATGTAGGGACTCTTTAGACAGCTATTGAATATATTTTAGTTTTGAGCCGTAGTTTGTGATAGTAGATGTTTCATTTGACGTATCCTTGAAACTAGGGGATTCTTTGGGTAGCTGTTAGATATTTTCGTTTTGAGCCATGATGTGTTAGAGCTGGGTTTTTTTTTCTGGTGGGTGTCCTAAGGATCTTTTGCCCATACATGCAATTGCACTAGTTTCTTGTATGCAGTTTAAACCTATAAACAAAATGGTTAGACATATTGTGATAATATAAGTCCATATACAAACGTACATGGATAATTTCGATTTACATCTATAGGAATAAATATAACTAAATTTGTTCAGAAACGATCTTGTCAGTTTTTCCTTACACTGCCGAAGAAATGATCTTTAGTACCGGTTAAAAACCTTCTTTAGGCCCTGTTTTTTTTCAGTTTGGGATTATTATAATCTAGATTATTGAGTCAGATTACTATAAGCTAGATTGTTATAATCTGTAGTAGAATAATCGGTTAGTTGTTTCTTTCTTAGATTATTAGAGCCTAGATTATTAGTTTGCAAGTCTAAAGAGGGAGTGGGGTGGCATGGTGGGTAATTTTTCACCCAATAATCTGGAAAAAGCTCACCTAAATGAGCTTATCGGATTATAATAAGCTGGGCTCCAGATTATAATAAGCTACTTCAATAAGTTGTCTGTTTCTTTCAGCTTACTCTCAATAATCTGGATTATAATAATCCCAAGCTGAAAAAAATAGGGCCTTAGTACCATTTGTAGAAACCGAGACTAAAGATCTCAAACGATCCTTAATACCGGTTAAAAACCCCCATTTAGTACCGGCAGTAGCAACCGAGAACCGGTACTAAAGATGCATACTAAGTTAAAAAAATATGTGTGATTCGAACGAAATATCTCTCACCTGAGCCCTTACGCGTGTGACCATCCCCCTACAATACACATCTAACTTGTATAAAGATGCTTTCGTTTTGAATTAACCTTGGAGATATCTTTAGTACTGGTTGATAACACCAACCGGTACTTAAAAATATCTTTAGTATGAATTGGTGTTACCAACCGATACTGAAGATATATTTTTAGTATCGGTTAGTGATACCAATCAGAACTAAAGATGTTTCTAGTGACTTGGGCGTGACTTGGGCTTTTAGAACCAGTACTAAACTATCTTTAATACAGGTTGTTAATCTAGTCGGGATAATTGTGTTTTGGGGCTTAGCATAAAAAAATCGTTTCTCTAGTATTGTTAATTACTTTCTGTTTATTTTTAAAATCATATGCATGCATTAGGCTGGAAGACTATTTCTCTCACATACACTAGCGAGCGAATTAGAAAACACCTTATCAAAGTAGTGGTGGCTCACTACTACGAAAACCATTTTTCGTGGCGGTCATTTTAGGTTTTCGCTGGTAGAATTTAGAGCCGCCACAAAGTAAAGGCCAGTGAAGATCAAGATCTTCGCTAGCGGTTATCGACCGGCAGTGAAAATTTATTTTCGCTGGCGGTCGTCTTAAGCCAGCCGCCAGCAAAGATACATTTTTGCTGGCAGTTATCTTCCACCGACCGCCAGCAAAAATTCATTTTCACTGGCGGCTGTGTTAAATCGACCGCCAGCAAAAATAAAAACCATGTAGCTGCCCTAGCCGCCAGCGAAGAGGAAATTTGAAAAGCAAAAATATATATAAAAAAGCACTGCTCCGTCCACCTCCATCAATGCTCCATCCATAAATCCACATAAATTTACATGAACAATTTACAGCAAAAAATTTCCATTCACCCAAGCATTGAAGCATCACAAATATCAACACATTAACAAAAAATTTGAACACCAAGCATCAATCCAAATATAGTGCTTCACAAATATCATCACAAATATTACAAACATCACAAATACAGAGAACCATCGCCGCTGGCGTCGTCGCACTCGAGGTTGTCATCGTCGTCCATGAAGTCCCCTCCACCATCACCGCCGCCGCTAACGAGCCCCGTCGGCCTCAACCGCCTCCGCTTCGACGCCGCCGGTGTCGAGCCCCGCCGCAGCTTCCACCGCCTCCGCCTCGACGACGCTACTACAGAGCCCCGTAGGCCTCCACCACCTCCGCCTCGCCACCAGCGCTGCAAAGCCACGCCACGCCAGATCTGAGAAAGGGAGAGGGGGTGGTGGCGGCGGGGGAAGGGGAGTAGTGAGGAGCGGTGGAGAGAGACCTGTGGAGATGTCGCCTCGCGCCTCCCCGTCCCGAGTGCCGCCACCCGGGCCACCCACGCCCGAGCTCGCCGCCGTCCTCTCCTCCGTCGCCCGCGCCCGAGTGCCGCTGCCCACGCCCAACCTCGCTGCACGCGCCCCGAGCTTGGACCGCCCCGAGCTCACCGCCGCCCTCTCCTCCGTCGCCCGCGCCCATGCGTTGCCACCCACGCCCGAGCTTGCCGCCCACGCCCCGAGATTGGACCACCCCAAGCTCATCACCACCCTCTCCTCCGATCGCCCGTGTCCGCCAGTGCTGCCACCTGTGGATCTGAGGGAGGAGGTGTTGGATCTGGAGGGACAAGGGAGGAGGAGAGGGTTGGATATGGAGGGAGGAGGAGAGAGGATAAGGACGGGTAGGTGGATGCGCGCGCTGATTTTTTGATGGCGTGATTTTTTAGGCTGCACTCTCCATTATCCGCCAGTGAAAATGGTAACAAGTCCGCCAGCAAAAATAGGGCTATTTTTTCTGGCGGTCTTCTTAACCTACCGCCAGCGAAAATCTGCCAAGTTAAGAGGGCCGACAGCGAAAATACCATATCTCCGCTGGCGGCCGGTTTAAGGCGACCGCTAGTGAAGATGAGTTTCCGCTAGCGGCCCGTGACCCCCGACCCCCGCGAATTTCTGCGCTGGCGGTTTTTTCACTTAGCCGCTATGAAAAATATTTTCCAAACGCCATGAAAAATCGTTTTTCTAGTAGTGGCTGTTGGTGAGCCACCACTACCTAGATGTTGATTCGATGGCATTCCATTCTTCCATCTCCCAAAATCTGTCTTGCCTATTCCTTTTTCTCTTCCTTATTAGGGAGCTTCAATTCACCATCTTTCTCCTACCGGCTGGCGAGATATCAGCGTTGTGCGATAGCCACCGGACAGGAAACAGATGAGCTGCCCTCAGTTGGAAATTTGAGATTTTTAGAAAATTTGGAAGCTGAGGTTAATTATGAATTGAAACTTTTCAGAGATTTGTGCATAAAAATATTTTAGTTTCTTGTTGAAAGTTTTTAGAGTTGAATCTTTCAGATTATGAATTGAAAGTTGGGAAAATTGAGTTCTAACTTTTTGATCTTGAATTGATAGTTTTGCAAATGGAGTTGAATATTTTTTTTTTATTATGATAACTCAAAATTATGCTAATTGAATTGAAAGTTTTGCAATCAAAACGAAAGTTTTGTGAATTTCAGAATATTAACTGAAGGTTTTACTAAACAGCGTTGAAAATTTTAGGCCACAATCAGAAAGTCTTTTGAGTTTCTGTGTATATTAAGTTTGGATTAATCAAATTGCTTAGGTTCCACGTCA